CTTTGCACCTGCGCTCTCGCTGCGCATGTTGTCGCCCCTGTCGCCACTTCTCGAACTTAAAGGCAAGCCCGCGATCATTCGCCATCACAGATAGTGGATTAGGGGTTTGCATACAGACGACAAGGTGCTGAGTAACTCGATAGTGAAGAAGAAAGCAGAAAAAAACATGCCAACGGCCCTAGATACAACCTCATTCCAATCCCAGTTTGTGCGTGCCCAATTAACTCCATCTTCAACACGGCGCCCTCATCCGCACAGCTGATTCCCCGATATGAACTCTACGACCGTACAAGTGACGACTTTCATGCTTTTTCGTCCTGCAGCTTCGTTTTCCACTGAAAGGAGGGCCTTGGAGGCGGAGTCTGGAGGCGGAGTCACTGGAATTAAGGAGGCGTCACTGAACCTATTTTGCGTTATAGCGCCCCTCCCTTACACTTTTTTGCGCGAAACCGGTACAGGGTTGTTCGTCGCGGACCACATTACCCTCCCAACGCCATATTTTCAACTTCTACACCTGATCGCGGACTGCGACTTTCTTGGTTTCATTCTACCGTCGCAGTAACAACTGAATCAGAAATGCCACACCCTCTGCAGACGTCGCGATGTGCAATGTGAAGTGCTTGAATGTGGAATAACTTCACTATGCAAAAGTTGTTTCCAAAGTTCTACTCACTGATTTTCCCTAGAGCATGGGTCAAGAGCGCTAGACACTTTCATATTCCGACCATTCGCATCCTTGTTTATAAACGCCTTTGTACAAAACTAGTAAATCTGTCGATCATTCCGCCAACCCGAAACAAAAAGGGCTTTTTCAAGGTCGACTGTGATGATATTGACTACAATTTGGACATGAAATACGCGGAAGATCTGAAAGCTGGTGATTGTCTCTACAAAACTCCGAAACAGCGGTGAGTTTGAAACTCTACATTCTCTCTGGATCCTTTCAGCGATTTCGCATATTTTCCGAGGATGTAAAATTAGAAGCTTCTGAATAATATGCGGGATATTTTTTGAATGATCCAGGCCGTGCGAGCATTTCGGAGGGCAGCCCCAGAACAAATTGACTGTTGTGTCAGATAACAAGTAAAAGAGAAATTTAAAAAACAGTTTCCGAGCATCTCTCTGTCGAAGTCTCAGACGCTGCGCTGATGTGCGTCGACATCCTATGCAATCAGGCCGCTTCTGACGCTGGCAGAAACTTTCGGAGAACACGGTTCCCCATACCCTCCTCCTTTCCCACACCCACCATCTTGCCAACATATTTCGTGGAGGGTGGGATAAGGTCACCACCAAATAACTACTAGATCCAACTATCGAAAATAGTAGTTACGCTGGACTTTGACTGCGCCACCAGCTAGAGGGGTGGGGCAGAAGGAAGGAGTATATAGCACATGAGAAGCGTGAATAAACAGCAAAAATTCAACACCGAGGAGATTTTCATTGCTTGCGATAGTATTGGGGGTTTGCATATAGACGACAAGGTGATGAGTAGCCCGATATTGAAGAAAAAAAAAACAGAAAAAACATGCCAAGCGCCCTAGATATAACTTTCGATTCCAGTTTGTAGGTGCCCGATTGACTCCATCTCCGACACTATGCCCTCATCCGCACAGCTGATCCCCCGATAAGGCTCTTTGACCGTACAAGTGACGATTTTCATGCTTTTTCTTCTTGCAGCATCGTTTTTTTCACTGAAAGGCGGAGTCCGGAGGCGGAATCACCGGAGAAAAGGAGGCGTCACTGACCCTCTATTGCGCTATAGCTCCCCTACAACTTTTCGCCACGAAACCGGTGCAAGGTTATTCGTCGCGGACCACACTACCCTCCTGACGCCATATTTTCAAAGTCTAGACCTGACTGCGGACCGTGCCAGGAAATTTGGTCACTCGGAACAAACTTTGCCTCATTTACTTGTTCCGAGTGACGAACGAGACCCTGCTGCAAGTTGGAACATACTGCCAACTTGCACCATTTTCCAAAAGTGGGCGGGGCAGCTGCGAAGTGTGCGGAGCTTCTCACAGCGGGCGGGGCTTCAGTAGCAGCCCAAAAATGCAAAAATTTTGGAAAAATATCAAAATTTTGCAAAAAGCCGCAAAGTGGGCTTGACCAAGGGGGCGGGGCCTGAATTGCCAGCTCACGCATGCGCATCTACGAGTTGTGTGAAGCGTGGGAGTGCGCTGAAAAAAGTTATGAAAAGTCGAATTTGAAAAAATCCTCAAAAAAATGGGCGGACAGCCTATGTGCCAATGTACAGTCCTTTTCAGCCAGTTTGCATTTGCGAAACAACAAAAGTGCAAAAAGTCACAAGAGCAAAAGTTCAAACTTTGGAAAGTCAGGACTACTCTGAAATGTGTGTGGTGCGTGGCTATAGGAGCGGGGCTTGCAATAGTGTCTGGTAAGGTATGGGTGACTTCTGTTTTTAGAAGTCGTGAATTTTATACAAAAAGTCGTGAATTTGGTTTGAAAAGTCGTGAATTCAAAGTGAAAATGGTATATTTTTCCCTGCGCGGTCGGCGAATTGATGAATGGAAGGTGCGACACTTCCATTGTACTTGTACTGTATTCTGAATTTTTCAGCACTTCACAAGGTGGTCATTCGATCAGTGACGACGGTCCGCGAACGAGGAGTGTACGCGCCGATGACCAGTTCAGGTGATCTTCTGGCCAACGACATCTACGTCTCTTGTCACAACGTCGTCAAAACCAGTACTCTCTTCGCAAACTTCCTTGATTTCGCGACTCATGTTCAAAGAAAGGTAAGCTCCTCTCATAAGACCACTTTCACCTACGTTCACTCAGGCACGAACCAAACGATGATTGTTTCGATGCGTCACTTTTTGGCGGTGCAGGGGTGAAGATAGGTCACCTCCCACCACGCACGGAGTTCTTCTTGAACATCATCGATCACATCATACCTACGAGTTCCAAAATGGAATTGTAGTATGAAATATCCAGAATGCTTTGCTCATCAGCTTTACCGCTGGAATGTCTGTGAAAATGTGCTTTGCTGTGTTTAATAAGGTTCCATAATAATAGCCATAGATACTCTAGCATGGTATCGCTCTGTAGTACTATAAATTGATATTTACATAAATTACCGAGAAAAAAAACGTCTCATTTCGGTGTTGTCAAGAGGAAGTATTTTAATTGTTAATATGACGGAAAAATCACAAAAAATTAATAGGAGCACAGAGAGAGAGAGAGAGAGAGGAGTGACGAAAATAGGTGCCTTTGACAGCAGATAGTCATCTGTGCTCCGGATAACAATGTGGCAATGTGTGACAACACAATCGCACTTGCCGTCCAGGTGGACGGGACGCCTGGACAAGGGAATCGTAGATTGCCGCTTCGTCGCGCGCGGCAAAGGGCGCGACGTTTCCTCAATTTGCAGAACCTTTTCGATTGCAGCATCGGAGTTTCATGTAGACAAGGACATGGTAGAACTCCTGTCTATTTTTGGTCATACAGTGTCTACTCTCGACGAGTACCACCAGTACAATTGTCCGCGCCCCGGTTCATTACTCGGCACGACGTCGCACGCGTCGACGTGGGCTGCATGACAACCAGTACTTCTGATAATGGTCCTGACGCGAAAGGATGGAAGGCAAAGAAATAGAGGACTGCTAAAGCAACAAGAGGTGCAAAAAAGAGCGCTACCGCTTAGGAAATGAGAAAAATATCGTTTAGGAAATGAACTTATTCAGAGAGATAGGCACTCTGGGTTGGATCCGGTGCTCGGTCCTGTTTTCTTGTACGAGGTGTTAGAGTTGCAGCTGCAGTGGCGTGCCACTGTCTCAGCAAAAGGGCACCGGAATCGCAGGCTGGAAAGGGATACATACAGGTATAGTCCGCTAGAGTGTTTTCAACTGGTCGATTTCTCTGAATCGATATAGCCGAATAAGTAATACATATAGATACAAGAAGGTGAAAAAGACGCACAATCTTCATAACACCGACAATTGTAGGGAAGGACCGCTGGGTGGGCTTATATCGCCCTCTTATTCGTCCGAAACTGTATGGGTCTGTTAGGATACTAGTTCTGTCTTTTATTCCTCCATTTTAATATATGATCCGCGGTCTATCCCACTACTTTATTGCCTGGAGCTCGAATTATTCAAAGATGAAGCTATAAAGCTCTACTATCAAAAACCCTAAAACTAATTTGTGATCGTTGAGCTCCAGATTGCAAGGAAGTATCCAGTGACAATGTCTTCTTCAAAGGCAGTTGGCACGATGATTTGGTGCTCGGCCTAGAATGCTGGTAGGGCGCTGTATAGTGGGGAAATGATGAAAGAACGGAGTGAAAGGGTAAAATCTACTGCGGAGAAAAAGAGCCGCCGTTCTCATGTGTGAAATTCAATTTTTGTCACGAGTTGTCTTTTAGCGCATTTGCAAAAGCCGATTACCGAAGGTAAGCTGGACGGATTGTGGATCTCATGATATCCATGCAGAGCATTACGGCTGTTCATACCAACCCCCTTAGCAAATGAATCAATGAGAGCGTCAGGAACGGTCCGTCACATATTTGGCGAAGGGTCGTTGACGGCTTTGGGTCGAAGGTTTGTTGACTTGATAGGGCCTTTGAAGGAGGCCACTTCCTGGGAGAGGCATATATAGCCATTAGGCCTTTCAAGGTCACCGGAATCCTACAGCCAGGGTATTAATCCTACTCGTCTTAGGCGGGATTTGCCACATTGACCGTTCAAGGTATCTCAATGCGCGAAATCAACTTCGACTGCACATACCCGCCATCAATATATGTGATGATAAATAAAGCAGAAGACTGGTGCCAGCCTCTCCCGTACAACTTCCCTGAAAAAGTAAAAACCTTCGATGAAAGTCCACATGCGAGGCATCTCTGTAGGAGTTGGATGTAGGATGCTCTTCACTGACAAACCCGACGCGATTCAGACCTCTGCGGGTTGTTATCTGGGGCGCTATTGCCTTATCTCGAAATCTGAAACGAGCGCGCCCTCATTCCAAAAACGGTGAAAGCGAAGGGTGACCGATATATAATAGTTGGCGTTTCAACTGTCATCCTGTTCCACCGACTCCAAAGAATCTGGGGAGGAAAACCCCCGTGAGCGGAGTCGTTCGGTACTGCTACGAATACGTTGTTCACTACGAACCCTTCATCTCGCCAACATATGCAGAGCCTTTGCCGGGCAAAAGCAACTCTGTTCAGGCCTAAGTGGCCAAACTTCTCCCGTACTGGAATTCCGCAGAAATACAAGTACGATGAATGATCGAGTGACTGGACATAGACTAGGGAGCGCGCGACAACGCAATGGCCCAGATTCTCGGCCTTCTTTTAGGGCGCGATACTGGGTCGAGCTCAAGGACAACTGGCCGACGACATTTAGATCCCCTTCACACTGCAATTGTCATGCCCGTTATGTACACGCTGTAACATCTATTGCAACTGCTTTTATTTAGCCTTTTTTGGAAATCTGTTCGTTAAGGCGAGGTCATCCATTTCGTTACATTATTTTGACCCTCTTTCAGATGCTTCGGTTAGCCGTTGCCGTTCTCTTCTGCGTCTCATTGTCTTCGGCTACTCGACCGATCAATGGAACTCAGTGCCACAAAAATCAGGTAGAATAAGCAAAAATCATTTTTAGATGAGCTCAACGTTTGCTGGACATAGCTAAGAAATTATCTGATGCGTTCGATGGGGCATTATTAGAGGCGACATAAGCAACGCCTGTGAAACAGCGATGTCTTTATGAATTCAAAATTCCATTCTATGGGTTTTTGCATGATTTCGCTTGTCTGTCTGAAGTAATCAGATTTGGATAATGAGTATTATCAAGAGTAAAAATTGTAGAGAGAAAACGCCTACTTTTTTACGCCCCTGAAATCCACTTCCGTGCATTCCAGCATGTCCCTTTTCTTTCAGCATAACACCAGCCACCAGTAATTAGATCTTTCCATCGCTTCTATTCACTTTCTAAAATACATATCTG